GTGAGGTCGCCGACATCGTATTTGACCGAGTCGTGCGTGACCACGGCTTACCTCTGAGCATCATATCTGACCGTGACCTGCGCTTTACCAGCCGATTCTGGCGACGACTCCACGAGGTGTACGACACTCAGCTCCGCTTCTCCTCGTCTTACCATCCTCAGACTGATGGTCAGACCGAGATCACGAACAGGACTATCGGGGATGTTCTCCGAAAGATTGTTCGTGAGGACCAGAAGTGGGATCTCCATCTTGCCCACGCGGAGATAGCCTACAACSACGCCGTCTCGCCAGCCACGGGGATGTCGCCTTACTATTGCGACCTCGGCTATCACCCGCGTGTTCCGGCGGACTTCCTTCGACCGTCCCATATGCACCCCTACACGAGTTGTCCTGCGCTGGATGATTGGGTTGCACACATGACGTCGATTATGAAGACCGCACATGAGCACATAGCCGCTTCCCAGACTCGCATGGCAGCACGTGCGAACCGATCGAGGATGRATYACCCATTCAAGGTCGGTGATGATGTGCTTATCGACGCCCGCCACTTACAGCTCGAAGCGGACACGCTTCGCAAGTTTCGGCGTCGCTTCTTTGGCCCATGCTGCATCCTCCAGGCCGTCGGTTCTGATACGGCATCTAGCCCGGTCAGCTTTCGTGTGAAGCTGCCCGACTACCTACGCCAGGCTCGTGTGCATGATGTCTACCACGTCTCGTTACTGCGTCCTTACCGCAGACCGTCTGAGCGTTTCGCTGGACGACCATACGAGCGCCATCATGGTGGACAGCCACGAGGAGTTCCTCGTTTCAGACATCATTGGTCGCTGAGTCACCGACGACAACCCTCCCCACGTCGAGTATCTCGTACGTTGAAAGGGTTACCCTGATGAGGAGGCTATCTGGGAGCCCCTCGAGCACTTGCAGCACGCTCGCATGTTGGTGCGTGCCTATGACCCTGCTCGTCGTGCTGGGTTCACTGCTGCTCCTCAGCCCACTGACTCTCCTCCTTCTCCTCCGGCTGAGGAGACCGCTGAAGTCGAGCCTGCTCCATTTGAGGCAGACCTTCAGCAGCAGCCGGATGCCTCTGAGCGTCCACAACGCACTCGTCGTCGTCCTGCTCGATACGACGAATGACTCTGACTTACTCTCCCACGTCTTTGACTTCTCAGTACTCCATCCACATCAGTTTTGCTACTTCAGCTCGTCGACGCTGCGGCTCTTCCTCGACGGCATTCCGGACTTCTCATTGTGGACGTCATCGGCGGCTTCATGGACTTCATCACGATGAGCTCTGCCTACTTCAGACGTCGCCACTCTCTTACCACTCTACCCTGTACAGTACCCTGCTTGTGTCGCATTATGGTCTCCCTTTAGCCGGGTTCCTCTGAGTTGGGCTCTCCCTTGGTATACGTAGGCATCGGGACCGTAGCGTTGCCCTGGCTTCCGATCTTACAGATCTAGCTCCGACTTCCTTCACTTTAAGAGTCATTTGCATGATTCCCTTACCCATCATCTTTCTACCCTTCGCCGACCCTCACGCCCTAGCTAGGCATCCCCGCATGCTTCATCTAGGTGCGCCCAGTATACCAGGCTCCCTTGTTGCCTTGCATGGTTGACCCTCCATAGCTGTCTCCCCTTAGTCGAGCATTACCCGCCCTGATGGTCTATCTACTAGGGTCATTGGTTCTGTTCGCTCCCAGTTCCCTACCCTCATTGAGCCTGATGACATGTGTTTTCCCCTGTCACTATGTGTGGATGCCCTTAGGAGTTTTCGACCCCTAGGCTGTATTCGCCACCCTCAGAGACCATCCCACCCTTTGGTGTGCGACAAACTTCTCATGTGACATATGGTTGTCTAACTTGTCTTGTTGATTGCTTTGTTGCTCTCAGACTGAGGCTACTACCTCCGACGTTTCTAGGATTTAGCTGTTCTGCTTTTGCTGTTCTTAGGACTTATACACTAGTCAGTTGATACCAGACCGAGGCTAGTGCCTCCAACATTCTAGGATCTAGTTGTCACTACTTTTTGCTTTCCTAGGACATGTATGTTAGTTAGTTGCTCCTACTTTCACTTAGGCTGTTAGCTGTGACATTGCTGTTTTGTGAC